TCGGGGACCAGGCCTCCGCCCGCGCCTGCGTGCAGCCCGGCTCCCGCCTTGAGCGCCGGGTGTTCGGCGTCCGCCACGCCGCCCAAGCCGTAAGGCACCGGGAAGGCGAACTTGTCCTTCTTTAGCAATGTCTTGGGCTTGCGCCGCGGCCGGTACTTGTAGTCGGGATGCTCTTTCATGTGCATGGCTCGCAGGCGCTTCGCCTCGTCGATGAACGGCCTCTTCTCCGACTCGGTGAGCAGCTTCCACTCGGCGCCCAGGCGCTTGCTGATCTCCGAGTTGTGCATCTTAGGGTTCTCCTGGGCCATCTTACGCCGCTGAGCCCGCGACCACACCATGAAGGCGTTCATGGGTCGCTTGACGTGGTCAACCGGCTTGGACATGCTGTCGCCGTGCCGCGGCTGCAGCCCGCCGCCGCCGCCACCCGGGCCCTCGGCTTCTGCCCGGAGGAAATCAATGTTGACTGCCAGCGGGCACCGGCTCAGCCGGCGACCTTGCGTCCGGGTCTTGTTCCCGCTCGGGAAGAGGGGAGCTAGGGGACCTGCCCAGGGCCGGGGCGCTGCGTCCCGGGACGCTGGGGTCTCTCTGGCTGAACTCTAGGAAAAATTCTCTCCGGGACCCTGGAACTTTTCGACAGTGTCCCCACTCCGCGGTGGCACTTTGCTCTCTGCTTCCTTTTTGTCCTTCTGTCCGGTTGCCTTTGCTCGCCAACTCCCTGCAGGTGGCCACTGCCTGGAACGGCTTTTCCCTCCCCAATGTCTCCAATGCCTTAAATGCCAAGCAGCCCCGAAAGTTGAGTGACGGAGGATCCACCAAGTTGAGCCGAGGAGCCTGCCGCCGCGTGCTGCCAAGTGCTAAAGGGGGCTCTCGGCCGCTGGAGTGTTTGGGTTTTCCGCGGTGACTTTCTCATTTGACAGAAGCAGATGGGAGTGGGGGAGGGGTGGCCCGCGAAGAGGAAGAGGAGGGGGAGGGTCTGGGCATACAGAGCACCGCGACGGATAGAAACACAAACGCACCACCACACCACCGGCCGGTCCTCTCGACTGGAGTCAGGGCGCGCTGATGGAACCCCTGATCCGATAGCTTTGCTGAGGGTGGCCACTGTCTCCTGGCACCTGATTCTGGAGAGTCTCTCTCCCCGGCTTCGCTCAGGAGAGGTGAGGAAAGAGGTGAGATGAGGTTTTGAGCAAGCCTGAGTCGCCGGGTCTCAGAGGAAACCGTCTGGACTTTCCGAATCGCTGCACCCGGCTGTCCCCCGGGCCATGCTTGCTCCGCTGGCTCTCAGCCCTTCCAGGCTCGCCCGCCGACTCGGGCTCCAGGAGCACTCCAGGCGTGGAGAGCAGCGCCGTGCAGCGCGGCGGGCCGGGCCCGGGCTGCTTCTCCTCCTGCCTCCGGTCGTCGTAGCCAAACACTAGCAACTAACTTCTTGCAAGTTTCCGGCCCGGGCTCAGCCGCGCCCCTCTAGGTGAGCGCGCCGCGAAGCGTGCGCCCGCCTGCGTGTGTGTGCCGTGACCCGGAGTCCCTCTCCCCCGGCTTCTCCCGGGGCGGTGGGTGCAGGGTGCGGGGACCCAAGGTACTGGAAGGGGGGGGGGTGTTAGAGAAAACGCGCCATCACCTCGGGTCGCAGGTCTGCGCTGGGGGTGCTCCTGCTCCCCCGACTCGGGGCCCTTTCCGGGCCCAGGCCGTCGCTCCTCCGCTCCCAAGGTGGCTGGACCCCTCTGTAGCAGCTCAGGTGAGTGTCGCCACCTGCGAGTGTAGGCGCTGGCAGCGGGCGCTGGGTGTGCATGTCCAGCCGCGACAGTGTGTGAGTGTGTGTGAGTGTGTATATCCTGGGTGTGCGGAGGAGGAGGAGCCGGGGACTCCAGGAGGGAGGAGGGACCAGAGGAGCCTCCTCCCGCTCTCCCCCTCCCCGACCTGAAATTAACAGGATCCCCCCCACCACCACCACCTCCCGCCCTTCGCCCCCTCCCAACACTCCTCCTCCTACTCTTTTTCACTTTGAGTGCAGGTTTAGGCGAGTGGAGAGTCCGCCGCGCGCCGCGGAGTCTGCGCACTGTTTGGCGCTTGGCAACCCTTGGTGTCACTGTCGGCTGCCCCTGTTCGACCCAACGCTACAGCGGCTCTGCTGGCTGCTCCGGAAAGCCTCTTTCCGGGAGGATAAAGGTGGTACACCCGAGGAGAGGAGCTGCGAGAACTACGGTGGAAGAGGGTTAAGCCTGAGGAGGTGTGGTGGGGACGAGGGGGGAGTCGTTTTCTAAAATATTTGAGACTGTTCCGAAAGGCAAGAAAGTGCTCATTTTCCTTGGAGGGCCAGATGGTTCCCTCATTTTCTTGCCTGGTGATGCACTCAGTCCGAGGTAGTGGAGCGAAAAATACCTTAGGATGGACAGGGCGTTTTTGAGCAAGCTTTCGGCAAAGGAGCGAGCCTAGGCTGAGTCTGAATCCTCATCTGAATACCCAACTCTTTCACAATTGTCTTCTGCCTTGTTTTGATTTTTTTTTTTTAATTTGAACATCAGAGCCATCTCTTTAACATCACAGTTTCCCACCTCATGGTGGTGGTGGGGGAGAAAGGTGCCTCAAATCAAAAGTATAAATCATTTCTCTAAACAAATAAAAACCTATGTTCCACACTGGACTACGTTTATGCTGTTGGCGCACATTTTCTTGCTTGGTAATTAGAGCAATTATAATTGACGCTCTGAAGAAAAATCAAAAGGCATAGTTTTGTTTGCACCCCCTCTCCCATCTTCCTGGGATTCCCCCCTCCCCCAGATAGTTTGTGCTTCAGGCAGTTCGCTTGCCTTCTTACTTTGGCTGTTTGCAAGTAACAAATTTGTATAAACAGTTAAAATTTTTAAATGTCTTTTTGCAATTTATTTTCAATTTGTTCACACACCGGACCCTTAAAGCACTGATTGTAATTACGGCGTTGATGTGAACTGTTTTGTGCGTCTATTTATTTAAGAATTAGGCTTGTTTTGTTGCTGGTTTAAATTGAAGAACAGCGATTGCTTTTGAAAATGTTGGTTGGGATGACAGACACGCCAGTCAGCAGTGGCTAAGTGGTATCTGTTTTCCTTAGCTGTCATGTTTGTAAATGCTTGTTTCGTATTGTTTTTGCCCTTCTGTTACTAAAACAATTGAACTGATTACTTTAGAATCATACTTCTTTAACACACTGTAGAAGACACTGTCATTCACAGACTCTGGGTGGTGCAATGTTAAGACACTAGCAGGTGTAATTACATAGACTAGGATATTAAATATACTGTTCCATGGTGATAAACTACAAAATTACCATCTCTGAGCTTTCAGCCTACCAACTTGTATAATAGGTTTGAGACAAAAATATTACACACTGACACACAAAGAGCATATGTATGGAGACACAATGTATGAAAACTGTTATTCACTAATCATTTTGAATAAAGTTGAGTCTAACAGTAAAAATTATTTTGACATAAAAATGATTGAAGGGTGAAGAAATTAATTTGTGTTGGTATTTTAAACAATTTTATGTGTGTCATGTTTGTTTTTGAAATCTTCAATAAATTATGATTGCATGGAAATGTTTGTATATATGACCAAAAGCTATGCTTATATATGCTATATGTTGTCAATATCAAATACATCAGACTTCCTCAGGTAGCCCTGGTGTAAACTGCAATCATACCTTTAAAGTGAACGAACCAAGTTAGACAGTTCTGTAGGAAGCAAAGGCACAGACAGAACATGACTATGTGCGTTGCACATAGTGTGTTCACTAGACACAACTTTGCACATTGCAGAATAGGAGGAGTTTGATTTATCTGCTCTGGACTTTTTGAGGATCAGTATTCCTGGCCCAAGACCTTCACATCCAAGAAAAGGGCACCCAGTGATTGTGAGATCAAATGGGCCCCTGTTATCTGTCAGCCTTTAGACCTCTGGCCTGAACCTGGCTGAGCTTTTAATAAAGGAAAACCCCAAACCACTGCTATGTATACATACCCAAGTCTAAATTCACTTTTAATATGCTCCTGTGCTGTGTTCCTGTTGGTAGAGTGGTGTGTGCAGTTCTAGGGAATGGAGTGGCCGGTGTGAGGAGGTGACAAAGGACAAAACCCTTGCAGAGACCTGTGCGTGTAAGGGTCTTGTCGTCTGCTCAGCAGCCCCTGAAAAGGCTCTGTTTCCCTGAGGGACGCAGTAACACCTGGAGCCACAGTGTCAGATAGGAAACAGAGACACACTTGCAGGGAAAGTTTGTGGGCGCCCAGGTACCCAGCTTCCTTTTTCTTTTCCCTTATAGCCTCCTCTGTAATTGGTCTCCTTTCCAACCCCCATACCCTTCACTAGGAGGCAGCACTGAGGTTGATTTGGAGTAGAAAAGTACCTGGCAATAAAAAACCAGCCGGCTCCATTACCTTCTTCCTAAAGGAGTGGGATTCCTCAGATTCCAATATGAACCAAGACACTTCTCTCCATCTTTTCAACCATCCTCCTCTTCCTCCTTTCTCCCCGTTCCCCTCCCTCCATCCTCCTTCCTCTTTCTCTACTCACCCTCTGTATGGTATTTTAACTGCGTGGTTCAGGAAGCAAAGGTGGTACCCTCACCATACAGAGACCACGCCCCTCTTGGTGGGACACACCTGGATGCAGGGAGCTGGCAACTCTGGTGATGGAGCTCTGAGGGTCAGCTCTTCAGCACACGCTGCTGTGAAAGAATCTTACTTTAATGGAAGCGCCATGCAGCCTGCGGACCTGTTCGGAAGGAAGTGGTCAAATGATGACAGCTGCCAGCTCTGTTTTCCTACTTAGCTCCTAAGGGGGTCGTGATGGAGTCCAGTCGGGACTCCAGGTTAAATCAACAGCCACAAATGTGGCTGTTTCCTGCGACTGTGAAGTGCTTGTCTGTTTGAGGTTCGGTCCCTTGATTTTCACCTTTGCTTGTGCTGATCAGGTTTGGAAACACCTTTCTCTTCTTGACAGTGCCCAAGAAGGCTGACAACAGCTCAAAGACCTTTCCCAAATGACAAATCAAGAAATACCAAAGCTGTCTCCTCCTTCCTCTTCAACCTCCTGCCCTCCCCACAAAAAAAAAAAAAAAAAACACCCTTTTAAACTAATTTAAGACGATTGCACAAAATCCCAAGTTTAGGCCTCAAACCTGGCCTAAAGAACCCTGCAAAAGTAGCAGAGAACTTTCATTCTCTGTAGATAGTGCTTTAAAGCCATTTTGGGGGGTGGTGTTAGTGGTGGTGGTTGCTATGCTTGAGCAAATCCAGAAATGCACAGCCTCTCTCTCATTTGCCCTGTGGTGTTAAAGAATCCTCCCAACTTTCTGGAGTTCTCAAATGGAGACTAAATTTGGGAGGGGGCAGGGTTGGTCATGCATTATATCACCAGCACCTTCTGTTGATTAGAGAAAGAACAAAACTTTCTCTAAGTTCTCCCAGATGCCGCTGCTGCTGCCTGGGAGCCTGCCTGTGGGTGCATGGGAACTCATTCAAAGCAGTTTTCAGGCTACCAGGACTGAGTTCTTAAGGGGCTAGGCCTTTCACATGGACAATCTTTCTGTGTTTTTAGGAAAGCTCTCTAAAGTAAGAGTTACATCTCTAATTTACAGGTTGGAAAATGGAGCAGGAGAGCAGGCAGGTCCTCTGACAGCCATAGCCCAATGACAAATGACTGGATTTGCATTGTTGGTTACTTCAATCTCCAGCCGGAAGTCCCAGTGGGCAGGTGGGCAGTCTCTCCTGTCTTCCTAGTTTCTTAGCTTTTTTGTGACTCAGTTAGGGTCCTCTGAGGGGATGCAGGGTAGTGGTTCATGGCAATTCTCTTGTGAAGTGTTCCATGGGCCCGTAGCCTCCCCCCACCCAGGATCCCTCCCACAGTCCCATGTGGTGTCAGCTGCAGTCCCCTGCTCTAACCCCCTGGACCTCCCAAGGCAAACACTGAGCCACTGCCAGCCCCGAGTAACCCGGGTGACTGAGCACCCTTCCTCTGATAGCCAAGGACTGCTAAGTGCTCTCAGCAGCTATCTAATCTTAGGCCTCTCTCTCTAACCCCAGCTGTTGTCCCGCCCCCCCCCCCTACCAACCATTCCAGCTTCCTTTTGTGAACCATATTTGGCTTAATCACAGTTCTCAATCCATGATACAGTCTCATAATTAATCATCCTATCAGCAGCCTGCTTTTGTTATTTAGTTCATCATTTTATATATATATATATATATACACATACATGTTATATATATATACATACATACATGAATCCGCCACCCAAAATAAATAAACATGTCCATAAACTTAAATCTAACTAGATAACGTGCAGTAAACTTCTCACTAGCCCCTAAACCCAGCCTAAACATTTGATGTTTGTATAGTTTTAAAAAAAAATCTAACGCATCCTTAAAAACTATTGTTTTAGTTTTTTAACTTGTGAAATGTTTCTCTGGGAAACTTCTGTCTATAGTCTCCACTGACTCCTTCCCCCTAACTGTGTTGTTTGGGGACAGTAGTACCTCCCTGTTCATTCATCTTAGCTGCCGTGTAAGGCTCGTGTAAATATGCTGCCGTCTACTTCTGCTGACTGCCTTGTTGGTGGCAGGTATAGGCATTCCCAATAGTGTTCCCTGCTACTTGTACCAGCGTGAAATCTGTGAAATGGGAAATTCACTTCATGCTTATTTCTAAGTGGGTCTTTTACTGGTTTAGTTCATACATGCTTGTATTTATGTGTGTGTGTGTGTGTGTGTGTGTGTGTACAAATGAATGGATATTATTTACAACTATGACTACCGTCCTTTGTTCATTATATGTGGGTGATAA